GGAAAGAAATGTACTCAGTAAGGCAAAGAAAAAATTAAAACCAAACACAAAAAAGTGTACTCAGTAATGATCTAATATATACTTTTTATTTATGTATTTATGAGTAAGATATTTATGCTGAAAGATTCCATAAGAAGAAAAATGTTAAGATAGTCTATCGCTACGTTCTCGCCAAATAAAATATGACCATGAGATCCAACACTGGCAGTAGGAAGCACAAGAATAACTTAGTGTCAAGAATTATACATGAACGAAGACTTCAGCAAAGGTATAGGAATAGATATGTTTCTCCAAATATATCCAATATCAACAAATGCAAGATATACTCTTATAATATAAGTATACCTTGTTACACACGTCAATTGATTTCCTGTATTCAACCATTTTCTGCAAGCAGGCCGCCACGTTTAAGTGCAATGAGTTCTGTAAGCATTACAAAATTAGATACCTTGTAGGGAACGCAGCAACTAACTATTAGATGAGCATGCACATTGAACCGGAGCAGGAAAATGTAATCAAGTATAATCAAGTCACCATATAATTGAAACTAAGGTGATTTTGAAGCTTGCAAAAAGAATTTCTATCCAGATTACTGGACAAACTTACTCTTGAATTCAGAAAGATTTTGCCCTGCTGATCATCCTGGGGGTTCACATGGTTATATTCCCGAAGAACCTGGTGAAGAATCGCTAGATTAAATCGTAAAAATGGAACAATGTGTTTCTTCAACAAAGAAAATGGCTTTACTGTTTATTAATACCCGAAGAACCTGGTGAAGAATTGCTAGAATAGATCATAGAAATGGAACAATATTTTTCATCAATAAAGAAAATGGCATTCCCGTTTATTAAATATACATATAACTGAGAACTTAAAATTTTGGTCACAGGTTATTTTTTCGGTCTTTTCAGAAAGTTGTAGTTAATACTGGTACAACAAATAGTTTTATGGTTGAGATTACTAGAGCAACATATAAAGAAGATAGAAATCATGCCTTCTCATACTTCGCCTTAACAAGTTCATACTTTCCCTCTTTGAATAGCCAGTTGCCATGAAAAGCAAGTATACAACATGACAAAAACCCTCATTCAACTGTTCTTATTAACATTTTTCGTCGTCACAACTACTAGCTATGTCGTATGGACAACAGCATGAATATCAAGATGATTACAATA